TACCTTTGTTCTAAATGTTGTCAGTAAGATCATATATTATGTCTGTAATGTTATAAAGAACATTCCTAATAAATTATAAGTTTTTTTAACACAATAATAAAATGCATTATTTAAAATGTAAATGCAATATATCTTCGATGTACTTTCATACATATTAAAAAAACATCATTGTCAGGTTATTCAATAACTAAACTTTTTGGACAGCCGACACTTGAATTATTTTTTTTTCTTGTAGTTTGGAATGTCAATTTTAAAATACTGAACCATATTTTTCCTTTAAACATTTTTGTTTTAGAGTTTTATTGGTGTACAAATAAGTTTTATCATTTCTTAAGGTGTACTGTGTAATTTAAGATTGTAACATATCTAAGTATTAGGTACCTAATTAAGCTTTAATATATGACAGAATGCAGTGTAAACAAATTTTCTCATTGCATTGAAAATGTTAATTTTGTGCCAATAGAATGGCATTTGCGGCAAGTTTTGCTGTATTATTTTATTTTAAAGAAAATTGCTGCCGAAAGTCATCGTTTGCTTGTAGAAGCTTATGGCGACTTTCAGCAACAGTTTTCTTTAAAATAAAATAATGCAGCAAAATTTACCGCAAATGCTGCTTTATTGACACAAAATTTGACATTGGTATTGTATTAAAAAAATTTATAATTTATTAAGCAAATGTTCTTTATAATCATTACAAACACACAACATAATATATAATATATAATATTACTGATAACATTTAGAACAAGGGTACCAAAAATCATGTTTATTAAATGCAAATATGTAGTTCTAGAATTAAATTCTTTTTTTAATAATTTGCGAAATAGTCTCTCAATACAACCGAGAATTAATTGAAAATAAAGAAAAAAATAAAAATTTTTTGTTACAAAAATGTACACATTGAGTCATTTGTGATCCATAAATGAATTTCGGAGTTATGCCAGTTAAAAGATGCATGAATTGAGACCGGCAACGCACAAAATTTGTTTTTTAGATGCCAAACTTTTTTTAAGAATAAAAAAACGACCGATACTCTTAATATTTCAAAGAAAAAAAATGCGCAGGACACGAATGACTCAAAGGTATGTATTACAGTTTAAGTCTATGATATATTCAATTATACATAATAATACCTCTGGCTATTTCATAAAATGGGAGCCGGATAATTTGCAAATAGCTGAGTCAACGTTTCTAGGGTAAAACGCGTTTTATGCGGACTATTGCTGTGACTGCAGCGCTTAGCTAGACTTCACAATGTCTCATGATTGTGAGTTTAATAATATGTTTTGAAAATGAATTAAATTCAAAGATTTCAAATTCTGAGCAAAAAATAATGTCGAACTATAATATATAAATGATCAAAGTCTATGATATTCCAAATGGTTTATTTAATAAGATCAGTCAAGTTACGTTATATATACGTTCTATTATCTATAATTAATTTTCACAATTTAGATGAGACATTGATTTCTCTGTTCAACTGTTTTTCTCTTTTTCACACATAAATAGATATCATGTTACGGTACAATTATAATAGTTATAAGTCAACATTGACAAATAAATTAAAACGTTTATAAAAAATTATTAAGAATTCCTATTTTCAATAAAAAAAATGAATGATTTATTATTCATTTAATGTAAAGATAATCATTATTTTAATATTATTGTAAAGATGTAGAAAAAAAATTATCAATTATCTATAATACTTGCACGATATTAACTTTGTAAAATAAAATAGAAAGCCGCGCGATACTAACTTGCTTATATGCAAAGATTTGAAATATAATGTTCGATGTGTACTCACCTTACATGTTGAGATATTCTGAATAAACTGTTGATACGATTCTCTTGACAGCACTACACTTATACACACATCGTTATTTATAATTAATTTTTACGATATAATTTAGATAATAATTTTTTTATTGGATATGTATTGTATATAAATTCATATATTTATTGACACCGAAATATTTAAGCAGTAAAATTCATTCTTTAAAATCGAAAATAGGATTTTATAATTAAATTGATATTTTTACTCAGTTATTTTAGTCTTTCAATTTTTATATATAATATTATTACATTATATAGTGATTAGATAGAACACGAACAAGTCAGCTACTAAAATTTCGTTTTTATGAGCAAAATATCGAATTCCTTTTTTTAAATAAAAGATTAAATAATCCATTATTCACTCTACACAAAAAGAATCTTTTAATTTAACATTTTCGTATATGGAAAGATTGACTAAATTTATCACATTGACGCAATTAGAATGATTTAAAAAGTTAAGTATTTCGTTATTTTTAATAATGCACATATAATTTATTTGATATATTGCTTATTTAAACAAAATATTTGAAATTATAAAATAAATAACTCGCGCCATTAAAACTAAACTGCTGATTTCTGAAAAAATCGATTTAACAAATTAAATCTTCATTAATTCCGCGACGAAATACTAATTGGATTTTAGTTTATTTTACATAATATAAAAAAATCAAATTATCAATATATAATATACGAGACTCGATTGTGTTTAAAAAAATAAAGATATTTAAAATACACATTTTTAATAAAAAGATAAAAGAATTGTTTAGAATCTATTATTTTATGTGAATAATTTCTGACCTGTTTCTTAACACTTATTACAGAGTTAATTTTGAACAATCTGTACGTAATTCGTGTCCGTAGATATCTAATTTTGTAAAATAATGCGCCATCCGGAGCGACTCGTACCACTGCCGTCCCCCTCCAAGGTCGCTGAGCGAATGCCAAAGTGATGACGTAGTCGATGACGCGCTCCCCTTCGCTACTTGCGGCTCGCGCTTCCCCTTTCAGTTTGCACTTCCCCTCGCAGTTCGCCGGGCGCCGCGCTGCGCCGCAGCGTTTGGATATTCAACTGTAGCGTATGAAAAATATTCAATTATTATTTTATATGCTTTTGACAAACGGGTATCGTCGTATACTTCGCGTTTTGCTTTGTGTCATCTCTGACGCTTGTTCAATTCTTATATTACTTGCGCGATTCTTTTAAACGTAATTATTCGCGTGAAGATATTTCAAAATTATGTCTCAATTTTCACTATTCTGTTTAATGATTCATACTTAAATAAAAGTTAATAGTATAGTATAGTATAGTTCTATACATTCTTTATATAAAGATACATATAAATTTTTTTTAAATTAATATATTATTTCTAGCGTGATTTTAAATTCCTTTTTTTTAAAGTATTAGTTTCTGATTTCCAAAAACTATGAACGATATCTTTAGTTTATTTAATAATCAATTTTATTAAAAAAATTAATGTATTATATTTAAACCAAATGATATAATATTTGTATGCCATCTTATATTTGTTATATCTGAAAAATTTAATATCACTTATAGATGAACTATTCTTCTCTTTCGAATTATAAAATCCGTTATTTTAATTTTATCATTCTAAATTCTAATCTAATCTATCTTATACGATACGACGGTGATGAGCTCGAAATGGAGACAATAGATCTGTTGCTTGAAATCTTCAAAATTTTTGCACTTAAAGTGAGATAAATAGATATTCGGACGTTGAAGAAAGAGAGAAAGCAAAAATACTGAATGCAAAAAGTGTAAGCAACGCGAATAGATCGATAGACGTAATAATCAGAATGGTATACCCTCGTACCTGTTCGTAACTAATACGACGATACCTATTTTGAATTGATTGTTTACATGACGCTTGGCGCTTGGCGACCTCGGCGTTCAATGCTCGCCGTTTTTGTGTACTAGTCACAATACGTCATGGCGTGACGTCACAGCATGCCGTACTGCGTACCTACCAAGGTTACCGCGTTATCATTCGCACGACGAGACTCGAGAAGGTCAATACTCAGATCGTTGCTCCGCGGCGTAAATTTCCATAATCGTAATAACGTAATTTTTCTCCGCAATTATCGCTCACGCAATTAAGCGGCTATAATTACCTGATTATTCGCGAGTATATTGAGATGAACAGTTCACACTCTCTATTCGACACATACCTTAAACTTGCGCATACGATGCATGTTTTCTTCAGTCGGATCTACACAGGAATGCAGAATGCAGGCTAGACATACAATTTCCGACTCCAGAATGTAGAAATTTAAATTCATCTCACTTTAATATGTCCTCCATTTATGTCCTGTAGTCTATACGACCTGAAATACGACACGCTGCGTTAATTTTGCGATCGCGTAGATTCGGCTTTATTAGATTAGACTACTTACTTTCTGGAATTGCACAATACAGAATATAGCATAGTTTTTAGTAATTTACTAAAATTCAAGCGATTATCAAACAGAAAACGTGCATTGTCTACATCATGTTTAGTACGTGAGTGAATCTGAGGGGGAATCGAAACGGCGCAGTATATGGAATTTTCCAACGGACGCAGCATCGTCAACTTCTCGTTGTACTGACATTCACGGCGTTGACGCACATGAAACGTATCGTGTGAGTGATATTAAGCTTTCATATCGATCTTGACATACTTTCGCGTATTTTTCGACGAAATCGATTATACTCTTTCTCCATTCTTATTTATTTTACTTTATTTTTCTTATCTAGCTAATGAATTCGATTCGCGCAGTGTCAGATGATATCGCGGTAAGGTTATTGATGCTGCCCGGATGCAGCATTCAAATATTTATGTTATATACCAGACAGGCACTTTGTTGAGTGGCGTCGCGACGCGCATTTGAATTGATAAATATAATCGTAATTGTATAATTTCGTGTCTGAATTTCCATAAGTTACAACATGAGCGGAGATACTGTGGCGCATTTATATCGGTAAATTGTTAAAGCTACCTGTCGTTCGAAATTCATTCGCTGTCGAGTTCGCCGAGTGAATCATATTTCTCGTGCGATTTCTGTTTTTTTACTTTTTCGCGACGGCAAAATGTAATGAAATGTGCATCGTATACGTATATTAATGTCGGGAGTGCCGTGCAAAGCACCACCGCGATTAATTAACCACGTTTTCGCGAGTGTTGTGTGTGTGAATGTGTGCATTGAAGGAAGCTGAGAGGAGGAGGAGGCCTGGAAGGCATCGAGCAACGGCGGAGCAACCTTGGGTAAGTATAATTTATTATTTATCTAGTATTACTGTTTACGCAATTAGTTTACTCCCGTTTGAATTTCGATCCAAACAGTTTGTGTGAAACGAGTAAATGCTTCTTAAAGAAAAATTGAAGAAATACAAACACACACCTACACGTGTATATACGAGAGTTTATAAATAAGTAAAAAGAAAAAAGAAAAACAGAGAAATTTTATAATTACTTAAATATTTTTACCCAAAACAAAAA